AAAAAAACTACTATAGAAATAGACGTAGATAGGGTGTGTGGGTGTGGGGTGTGCAGCTGGTCAATAGAAGGCCACACACCCACACTCTAGAGCCCCCCCGCTTTCAGTGTAGGGTATAACTACTTGACAAAACAACATGTTCTTATAACGAAGTGTGCTTGTTCATTCCTTAGAGTTTAATCAAATTCAAATCAGGAATAAATAATATATTAAAAGAGTTACAAAATAATATAATTATTCAGTTCTATTTATAAGTAATTAAGTATTCAGCATAAGCTTGAGCATCATGATAAGTGACAAAAATATGTTTACCATCAGTAGTTGAATCGAATCCAGCAGGGCAAGTCTTCATTGAACTATTGCCTTTAGTTGTATTTCCAACTAGAACTCGTGTCAAAAACATATGACGTTCTCCATTGACGTTTGGTTTTGCATAATCATGACTATAAGCTGCATCTAATGAAAAATAAACACCAAAACCATATACAGTTCCTAAAGATAAAAGTGCTATTGATACGAAACGGTGAAATGAGACATAAATTTACCATGGACTCCTGCAAAACTCCGATTGAAACAACTTTTCACGATTTTATCAGCTGCCTCTTGAGGACAGCCATGATACAAACTTTTTTCAGTATCTTTATCGAGAGTTCTTTTGAAACTTCGACTATGTGCCAAATATTGAATATACCATCGTTCATTTTGAATGCGTTCTATTCGTATTATTTTTGTATATTTTCCTTTGATAGATTGATTAAAATTGGTTACGATTGATTTGTATTCATCCACTGTATTTGATAACTCTAAACGCATTTCATTTTCTGTTGGCTTTTCCCATGTTGTAGGAAGCTGATAATGAACCGATTTCTTAGTATCTGCTAAAATTAAAATTATTAACTTTTTGGATGCCGTTACTTTCATTAAGGAAAACGTAAATCTTTTCATGATGTGTTTTTAACATTCAGGTGATATATTCCTTGATAACAACTAAATCGGATATAACTAATCTTGCTGGTTTCCTTCCTCAAAACAACTGGTAAACTAAAAGTCATTAGGTACAACAGTTTTTACCTAAAAACCAGAGAAGAAATTGGTTCCATCTTGTTTCTACTCAGCCTGACTGAAAAATTTCTGAACTGAATCATTCTTTAAAAGCTGATAATTTACTCATTCTATGCTGAAAAGTTAAATTTAGGTGAAAAAGAAAAGTTTAATGATACCATTTTGTGTTGCTAATACTTTTTTACAAAATTCATTATAAATATTTTGTTGACCAGACTGTATCACGAATCTCACTACCACAGGTAGATTTCTGATAGTCAATTGGTTTTTCATTTCTTGCACCATTGTCTTGACTACAATATCTACAGAACACCCATGTTGCCCACATCCAAGAGCTGGAAATGCAAATGACGTGAACTTATATGATATCACATTTTGTATAACAGTTCCAATCAAATCAACAAGCGATTGTCGAAGCATCGCCTCATTTTTGTCTGGTTGCCACTTAACAAAAAAAATTCGTTTGCAAGGTAGGACACCTGGCGGTGTTGAAATTAATATAGAATTTGGATTGTTTTTCTGTTGGGTATCATATGACGTCTCAACTTCACCGCCAGCTACCTTTATAATTGCATTTTTTAAAATTTTCGATGATGAGCTTCCAATAATAGCATCTACCTATCAAAACAAAAATTGTATAGTTTTTTTAACATGGAAAGAAATTTCTATATATACTTTTTCTCTTGTTATATCACCTGTCACAACTTGAATTGTTCCTTTATTAACAGTTGCAGCTATTACTTTTCTTGACCCTTCTGGTGATGTTGCTAATGAGGATTTTTGAGCTGCGGATCGAGGTCGTTGTGCTGAAAAAGAGTTTTCTCGTACTAAGAACCGAGATCCTTGTGGTGATAATGAGCGCTCTCGTGGTAATGA